CCCGTGGGCGGTGCCTGGGGGGGGCTGGACCCCGGGGCTCCTCCCCTCTCCGCGGGCCCTCGCCTTTGGCCCTGCGAGCTAAGCACCGCCGCCCAATGACGCCGAGGCCCGACCCTTCCCTTCCCGCCCAGGACCCGGAGAGAAGACGGAGGGGGAGCCCGAGGCGGCTTCATTGCTGCCGCCAACACCTCGGCTGCTTGAACGGCTCCTCCGCGCCACAGAGATATCGCATCTCAGCTTTCCCCGGTGCTGGGCCCTCCGGCACTCCACTTAGCAAGTGCCGCATTGGCACTTGGCTGGAGAGACCTCACTGAAAGACTCGGGACCCGGACCATCGAGGTCGTGGGGACCCAGCATCCAGGGAACATGGGAACTGGAGTCCCAGCCTCGGAACAGACCAGATGTGCCAAAGGGGATCCGCACGTTTATTGCCCTGAAGATACTGGAAGCACGAAGGCTGTGCAGATTTCAGGCTTCGAGACCCCGAAGGACAATCAACCCCAAAATGAACCGAGCTGCTGCAATCCTGAGGACTCTGGACAGCTGATGGCTTCCTATGAGGGTAAAGCCAAGGGCTACCAGGTGCCTCCGTTCGGCTGGCGCATCTGCCTGGCTCACGAATTTGCAGAGAAAAGGAAACCCTTTCGTGCCAACAACGTCTCTCTAAGCAACGTGATAAAGCATCTGGGCATGGGTTTCAGGTGAGTGACTTCCATTGCTTAGAGCATTTTAGGCTTCACTTTATTACAGCATACGGCTCAGCGGAGGTGGGAAAGGGTGAGAAAGCAGGTGGGTTCCTCCTCCCAATCTAGTCCCCACTAATCAATTCTAAACCCTTGGTTTTGGAGGGTGAGATCGGGTAACATCTTTTTGTAACTCCTTTCCTCCTACTGACTTGCCGTTTTATACTAGAGCAGGAACTCGTGGGCCTGAGGTCAGCCATTCTCCTTTAGGTTCTCTTAAATACTCCCTCCTCTCCAAAGACAGCTCTTTGGGATTAGCTATACTTTGTGGCAAGACAGGAAAGGATCCTGGGGCTGCTGTGGTTCTGAAACAATGT